AGTCCCTGACGGTCGACAAGACGGCGAACAGTTCTCCTAAGCAAGCGGGGCCCGTGCCTAGGGGAACCCAGCGAACCACAGGCACCCGGTGGGTCCCAGCCCCGGGTCCCCAGACGCTGACGACCCGGCCCTATGGCCATGTAGCATTACCATTGTACCCCTGGGGGTTGGCCTATAAAACCCCCCAAGTTGCCCTCATGCATATGGGCAAGCACACAGGAAAATAGCCAACCGGTCAGTAGAACACACAAAGGGAGAAGGAGCAGCCTAAGCCCTGGCCAGCCTTCCTTCTTCCTCCATACATCTCTAGGAGCAACTCTGTACTATTGCATATAAACCACACTCGGCGGGACTAGGGGTATTATCTCTCCGGAGAGCCCCGAACCTGGGTATGTCTTGCGTCCCGCGCTCGCTCATGCCGACCTCGCCTCTGGAGCCCACCAGTGCCTTCGAGCCTCCTCCTCTCTTTAGCCATCCCATGGTATCTGCCGTGCGCCCACCACGACAATACGTGTATATTAATGAAAGAAGAAGCTGTGTGAATTAGAAATAAACTGAACACTCATGAACGTGTTTTTGTATGTTATAACTAGAAGTGGTTGTCTATTCCTAATTTCCCATATTTCTAACCATTGAAATAAAACTAAGCCATCTTCATTTCCAAGTCACTCCATATGTAACATACCAACTTAATAAATGCAATAAGTTATCCATAGAGTTTCACACCTTTGGAGGAGGCTTAGTAATGTGTAATTTTAGGTAGTAATCAAAATCAACTAAGCATTAGCAAAAAGAACATGTACATTTGCTACTTCACCGATTACTCGCCAGTCCAACATCCCCCTGCTAATCAGAGATACAGAGCTAACTTAGGATTAGTTTACTATTGATGATGCCTACACCTGAGTAGTTGAACAGTATTTTTGCATCATAAGTAAATTAATATAGTGACCTTTCTTGCACCATAGCAGTGCTTACAGTTCTAGACTTATCCTCTATCATCCATAATCCCGTTGGCAACCACCCAGGGCCGGTCCTGAGATTTTGGGGGCCCGGGGGGAAACTAAAATTTGGGGCCCTTAATAACATCATCATAGTAATAAAAATGAATATATATGTATATGTGAAAAAAATATTAATAACACTCAAATGCATTGAAAATCAGTATGTGTATCAAATAATTACATATTACCTTAAAAATTTCTTCTAACTTTCCTCGATGCAAAGTCACTTATGATGGGGTCGATGTCAATCTCATCCAATAATTTCTCCTCGATGAATAATGTAGCCAAACAATTTAACCTCTCTCGAGTCATTGTTGACCTCAAATCATTCTTCAACAATTCTAGCTTTGAAATTTTTCTTCAGCCGATACGACCGTCACAGACACAGCAAATAAGATGCGATAAGCAATGAAGATATTCGGATAACAATCAACTTCTCTGACATGCCCAAAAATCTCCAGAGCAAACAGTACGCCATCTGGCAAAGTGGATCTCATAATCTTCAACTTGGAAATAAGATCATATGCCTCAACATCAGATGAACTATCAAGAGAGAATGTTTCAACAAATTTTGTGCAACACTCTGTGATTGTACCAATTTATCCGATGTCTTCTTCCTTTTCCTTTTATTGCTAAACGATGCATATGTCTTGTTTCTTGGCGGTATACTAGCGCACAATTCTGAAAAAGTAATTTTTGCACCGATTATTGAATGGTGCCACATACACATCAAGGAACCGCAAATTGCAAATATAATATACCTGATTTTGACGGTCGAATCCATGATAGCATCAGTCCGTGTGCTGCTTGTGGCGTCTAGATTCGGAGAACAATTGACCAAGCGTGAAGACGGGGTCCCCTGAACTGAAATCATCGGTGCACTGTATTAGGAAGGAGATTAGGAGAAGGGAATTAGGAATTAACAAGAGCCAGGCGGCAGACCTGCAATACTGCTTGTTGGCGTCCGACGTCCAGCGTCTGGCGTCGGCGGCCTAGGGCTGGGATGTTGGGAAATCACGATCGCACTTTTTTTTAGGTCAAGCTGTGAAGGGACAGCAGATCGTTGTCTTTTTTTTACGTGAAGGATGAAGGAAGCAATCGCTAATCAGGCCGTGCTTGTCGCTAATCCTGCCGCTGCTGCTCGTTTGGCTTGCGATCGTGTGCGTGTGCGTGAAGGCTGCAAGGCCCCGCCTTTGACCTTTTTTTTTTGACATGGGCCTACCTAGTAGCCTGACATACACAGAACCTACATACC